ACTGGAGTGTCAAGGCCTACAGTAGAACCACTTGCAATGCTACATAGCAGAGATGCTTCTGTGGGGCCTGGTCAGTCCTGGAAAAACACACCAAAACTATTGTCAGAGGATTGCATCAGAACCTTGGCAACAACCTGTGCCCTGAAATAGCTTGGAAATTTCTCTTCCTGCCCCAATCCCAGCCTGGTACAGCCAACTTTCTCACAGACAGGTCTGCTTCCCCAGAACAGAGGAGCTGCAGTTGTGCTTCACCCGAGGAAGCAGCATGCTCATGCCTGGCAGTACAGAGGCCTATGAGGGTCCTATTACATGTCTTGAGCTCAGCCAAGGCACGGCTAGTGCTGCTGCCAGGGGTGATGTCTCCTCTGTGCTGACATACTGCAGAGGTGTGAGCTTCACCGGGATCTCCAAAACCTGCTTGTCCCAGCCCTGACTGTGGCTCCCTCCCTTTGGGAGTGCATATGTACCTGCAAGGAAAATCCCAACCTGTGTCCAGACAGAGGTGTATGTGCTGGGCTGTGTTGCAGGGCTGATGCCAGCTGCCTTGGCTGTCAGCCTCAGCGTTAATTAGAGCCTGTGACACAGCCAGGACAGTCTCCTCCCATTACACCACCTCTCCTCACACTCACCTCCCTCCTCTGGCTTCTAGACTTCTTTTGTGACACCATGAAACCCACAGCAGTGCTGAGAACCTGGTCCTCCCCTGCTAAGGGCTGATTCTTCTTCCTGTCTTGCAGGTGACCCAGCTGCTGCCTCCTACCTGGTGCAGGCCTTGTGGAACCTGAACCGAAAGCAGGAGGCAGCTGATCACTGGCAGAAGTTCTTCCAGACCTCTCCTGGGGAGGAAGGGCCGCAGAACAGGCAGGGAAGGTGTGTGAAGGGGTGGGAGCACACAGCAGCAGCGCACAGTGTGTGTGTTAGGCTGTGTGGACAGTTTAACTCAGCTCCTCCACACCTGTGCCCACAGCTCAGAGGTGTCTGAGGAGCTTCCTCCCGTGACTGCTCTGAGGGCTGTGACTCTTCAGGGACTCCCTGAGGCACAAAAGAGCTGATGTGGAGCCAGATAGGGTGGGCAGAGGCTGGGGGTAGAGCTCTGCAGAATGACCCTCATAGTCAGGCCATGGCAAGGCAATGCCAGTCCTTACTGCTGCTACATTCTCTTCTTTTCAGGCCCCTCCCTTTGTACCTGATTTCATGTCTGGAGCAGGCAATGTTCCCACACAGTGAACCTCTTGCCAGGAGCATACAGGAATACCTCAGGACCACAAGCTAAGCTGGTCAGTCATCACCACCTGCTGAGGTCTCCCAACACTGGGCTGGCACAAGGCCTTTAAGGACCCCTCCAAGATTCAGAATCATTCTTGGATAAAGCTGGATTCCCAAAGGACTGAAATAAAACAGATATCAAGTTCTAATAAAAGCCTCAGCACTATTTAGTTTTACATTTTTCTGTGCCCTTTATCCAGAGTGAGATGTTGCAGCCATGGCCTTGATGCTGCCTGGAGCTGCTGTGAGCCCATGGGTTGTGCCCTGGGCGTGTGGGAGGTCAAAGGCAGAGAGACCTTTATCCACTGCACATGGGACCAGGTCTGTGCTCCAGGTTGCTGGTGGTCTGTCCTGCCTGTGCTCTGTGTACTGGCTTTTCACTCAATCAGTGCAGTTTGGAGCCCAGATAAGTGGTTTTAGATGAAACACACAGCTGCATGGTGTGAATTTCATAATGCTGCACCAGCCAGGGATGGCAGCAGGGTCCAGTCCCATGTGTGTGTCCCCCTTGTGTCCCTGAGGGTCTGTGCCAATGGCGCTGCATGGCTATAGGTGCTCCTGGGACAGGGAGCAGAGGTGAAGAAGCACTTAACCAGTGTTTGGTGCAGCTAATTTTGGGTGAGGAAGGTTCCATGCACACAGAAGCTGAGCCTTTGGCAAGCCTTGCCTTCCACAGGAGCAAAGGGATGTTTGGGAGCTGCAAGGCATGGATGAGTTGGGAGAGAGAAAAGGGCATGGAAAAGGTCAGGAAAGTACAAAGCAGGAGCTGCTGCACCCTCCCGAGTGCTGGAGGGACGGAGAGGGTTGGAGTGGTTTTTGTCCTGCAGTTCTTTCAGAAAAACACCTTGGCACATCCAGGCATATCCTGGGCTGCATCCAAAGCAGTGTGGAAAGCAGGTTGAGGGAAGGGATTCTGCCCCTCTGCTCCTCTCTGGTGAGACCCACCTGGAATACTGTCTCCAGCTCTGGGGTCCCCAGTACGGGAAGGACAGGGACCTGTTGGTTTGAGTCCAGAGGTCACCGAGATGATTAGAGATGAAGCACTTCTGCCGTGTGGAAAGGCTGAGTTGGGGTTGTTAGCCTGGAGAAGGCTCCAAGGAAACCCTCCAGTTCCTCAAGGAGCTGCAAGAGAGCTGGAGAGGGACATATACATCGACACTGGTGGGATGACAGGTGACTGCTTTAAACTGACAGGTCAGGGTTAGATGAGGTATTAAGAAGAAGTTCATTGCTGTGGGGGTGCTGAGGCACTGGCAC